TTGATATATATATATATATATATATATAATTAAACATTATTAAATCATTATAAAATTGAGTTATCCCATCCAAATATATTTTATTTTGCTTCACTGTTTACATCATATATTTAACATTAATTTAAGATATATATTTTGGCCAGATTTTAATTAATTTTTTTTCTGTCATATTGAAGATGTCCAATTGCACGCTGAACATCACTACGGGCGTCCAGAACTTCCAGCTGGCCGCACTCATACCCACCTTCATCCTCGGTGTCCCGGGAAACATTTACGTCTTAGTGATGTTCTGCCGCCGTCCCCGAACCGACTGGACCTACATGAACATAAACATCAGCAACATGGCGATCGCCGACTGCGTCGTGCTCATGCTTCTGCCCGTCCGCATCGCGTCCTACATCTGGGACAGTTCGGGACTCAGTGGCCAAAACTACAAGGAGCTGTGTTACGTCCTCGTGTCGGTTTATTACATCAACATGTACGTCAGCATCTTCACGGTCACCGCGATAAGCGTCGTGCGCTACGTGGCCATCAAGTATCCGTTAAAAGCCCGGCTTTATAAGCATTTATAAATACGAAAAATGAATTTTTATTTAGAAAACAGTATTCACTTTGTATTATTATTAATATCTATTTTTCAATTTATTTTCATTTTTTGCAAAAAAAAAAATGTTTATGAAGTTTTTTAAATGGCGAATGCAAAAAATAACTTATTTTAACATTTTTATAATTTTTTTGCAAACACAAACAAAAAGCAATGAAATGTAAGAATTCTTTAATTATTTTCAAAACCGCACTGTTTTTGTTGCAAAAATAAAGGAACGTTTATTAGACAATGTGATTTTTTTTATTATGCACATTTACTTATTTATTTTGTAAAAATGAAAAAAGCAGGAATTGACTTTATTACTGACTATGACAAATGCAAAAAACAAGGACGTTTTATTTAGATTTTTTTTTTGTATTTTGTTCAAAATTCAATGTTTTGCAGAAAAAAGAACGGAAAAACAAATCTTTAAACTAGATTTTCAAAACCTTTTTTTTTTTTTTTTTTAACAATGACCTTTAACTAACTCGAGGTTATTTTTAGTGGATGTATGAAGTCAGTTCTTTTAGGTGTTCAAGCAACTACATGGTGAAGTTAATCACATTAACTATAGCGTTTGCCGAAGAAGTTGACGGTCATGCCGGTGTAGATCGCCAAAGCCAAGAGCGCAAGAAATCCTGCAGAAACACAGACCGCTTCAGACCAGAAACCACCGCAAACCAGACCATAAAAACCCCTGCTTCAAACACACTGAACCCTCACACGCTGCTGAGACGAATATTACTGCACAGTCACAGTGTTCATGAAACAGAAATGTAGTAAATATTTTTAACAATTTAAATAACTAAATGTAACGATGTCAGATGTTTTTAATTTAATTTAACTTAAATTAATTTTAATTTTAATAACTTTAAAAGTGTCAAATGTTTTTTTAATTTAAACAATTAAATTAAATTTTTTATAACTAAAAATATCAGATATTTAATTAAAATAATTAATTTTTAATAATTAAAAATGTCTTTTTTTATACATATATATAAAAAATATATGCAAACTATAAAGCAAAAAAAAGAAAGAAAGAAAGTAATATAGGAATTTTAAAGAACTGAAAAAATTTTCATAAGTTGTATGACTTTATAAGTCTTTCGAAACGAAAAAAATGCAAAAATAAAATAATAAAGAATTATTCTAAAATGATTACCTTCCCAAATGGATACAGAGTATAGAAAAAAAATTACATTATTTGTCATATTTTCCTTAAACATGAAATTAAGTTTAATGTTTTTAATAATTAGGAATATTGCAAATATAAAAAATACACAAAATATTGTCCTACTCAGATGGACAGAGATTACTAGAGATAACAGAGAAGATATTTTCACAGAAGATGAACGGGATGAAATGTATTTGGCATCATCATGACGTCTGTGTGTGTTTCTGACCGGACAGCAGCAGGGCGATTCCTCCGGTCCGCACTCGTCGGCTCCGGGGCCGTTTGGACGCAGTGATGCCCAAAAGCACTCCAGCGAAACAGCCCAGAACCGACAGCAGCATGAAGGCCCGCGTGGCGTCCCAGAACGCTGTGCAACAAACACAATTAATGCACTTCCTGTTTGCTCTGTGTTCAGGCTTCCTCAGAGCATTCTGGGATACTCGAGGAGCCATGATTAAGGCAGATTATTGATTAAAGCTGTTGAAATCTACCATAGAAACGTAAATGAGTTTTGGAAAAATAACAATAATTTGAAAAATATATAATAAAAATAAAATAATAAATAATTTTTTTCCCAAAATTGACCTACATAGATTGAAAGAAATAAAAATAAAAATAAAAAAATTCCGTCAATGAACATGAAGTGAAA